TCTTATAGGCGCGTCACGATTCACATTGCAACCGCCCTCTCCCGCGGGGCCTCCCCGGTTGGGCATCCCGAGCCTACCTCGGACGACGCCGGACGCAATTCCACTATTGGTCCCAGCTTCTCCCGCCCCACCCTCGATCGGCGCATTCCACCGCGTCGAGTTTTCCCCTCCGCGATGGCGATAGGCCGGAGCCTGTACGCGACACGTACATGGCGTTCGGACTGAATCATTTCCATCGCGCGCGTCGTTGGCTTTAGGCGAACGCGTCGCCGCGCGCCAATCAGCGACGCCACTTCCAGTGACGCCCAGGCACCGTGACCCCCGTCGCTGGCGCCTGGTCCCCTCGTCGTCCTGCGCAGCCCCATGTCCTAGGAGGAGTGGAATTCCAACCTAAATCAGCCCCATAGTGCTGGTCGTAGGCGCCTTGAGCGGGCCTGGGCCGGCACTTGCAGTCCGGACGGCGGCGGACAGCTATGATGAAATCAGCGATCGGTACCCAGTGCGCTGTCCTGTCCTGTCCGCCTGTCGAGAAGAAGCCGTGCGGTCTGGCGTACGACGGACACTTCCCCGCGAATTCGAAGCTCGTCGAGGTGGAGCCGGGCCCAGCCCGGCGCGGGCGGCGGCGCGGTTGGTTGCCGGCGCAGCGCGCAGGCGAGGGAACGGAGATCGTACGCGCAGGGAGGCGAGGGAAGCGCAGCGGTCAGGTTCGGGGTCGGCAGCTGGCCGTGGTCAGGCGGCGATCGTCGGACGGAGAGTGAATGGGTGGCTGGCGGATCAAGGCCCGTAGCGATATGGCCTTGTCATCCCCGCCCTTCATCAGCTACTAGTAGATCCATTACGACGCTGCTCCGCGTGCTCCTCGTCCGTCAAAAGTGAATCGAGACGTTGCCAGACGGGTGGGAGCGAGTGTCGCACAGACAGCCAGCCGGCTTGTGGTCCGTCGATAGCGACGTCGCCACGGACAGCCAAAACAAGCAGAGGAGACCGGCCGGCACGCGACCGCGCAGCGCAGCACATGAAGGTGCCGATGGTGGTGGTCAAGAAGAAAGAAGCGCTTGACGTGGCACGTGCGGCACCGCATGGTCCGTGCGCGCCACGTCAATCATGCGCAGATGCCCACTTCCTTCCTTCCTTTCCCCGTCTCTCCTCCCCGCCCGTCTCCCTTGTCCCGCTACACCGCCCGTTACTCGGCCACGCGCGTTGCAGGCCCACGCGTCGTTTTCAAGCGCGCAACCCGGGGGATGTCCTTGCCGGCGACTAGTGGCACAAACCCTGGCCGATTTGTGGTGCGCGACCTTTCATCCCTTCACTCCCCCGCTCACCACAGACAGACTCGGAGTTCTTATGGGTCAGTCGTCTGTCGGACTCCGTTTGTCCGAAGATTGCCCTTGAACCTACAAGTTGCTCAAGCTGCGCCATCGCGCTGTCGCTGCCCCACGGCTCTATGCACGTTGTCGAATCACTACTAGCAATCCACTGTCTGCGCGGAACGGTTGCAGCAAGGACAGATTGCGCTCAGCCCATGCGATCTTCCCAGCAATATCGCATTCTTCCTCTACAATCGCCAACTCCACCTTGTGAACGTCAAACCTGTCCACCGTGATCAATACCGCAGCTTACGGTCTCCGCGGCGCATCGAGGACCGCAAGGACCGGTTCTGCTAGGTGTCTATGGCCAGACGAACATTCGAATCGACGGAAGCCATGTCTTCTAATCGTCCGGACGAGTTCCCTTAAGCTTCGCACTGGTTGGCTAGAGTCCAGCGCCGATCTGCTACTCACAAGAATAGCATACCAATAGGTACTTTGTCCGGACTATTGCTTAGCAAATACATGCGCCCCCGATAAACCGACTCACCCGCTGCCCGCATTTGACAAGTAGCGCGATCGACACCGAGTGCTCCACGTCTACGTCCTCGCTGCCCCTTGCAGGCCCGGCCTCCCATGCGCGCAGGTACCTGCCCTCCTCGGACGATTCGAATGCGTCGCCGGCCGCTCCCGCCAGGGCGTGCCTTTTCCAGTCAGCAACTCCACCGGCAGGCGAGCGGGCCATCTATACAGACTTTGCATCCGCAAGACTGCAGGTCAACACCGCGCAGAGCCGCGGTACCGGTCAGGCATGGGTCAAGATACATTCACCGTGAGTAGCTGACGTGTTCAACAAGAAATATATCTAAAGGCTCATCTGATAGAACCACCGAAAGCCCTCTGGCACCTCCACGTCCTCCCAACAGCTTTTGAACGACTCGGGTGTCACGTCCCGGCCCATCTCTCTCTCCCGGTGAACTATGTCCTTCGCAGCGTCTAGCCAGAATTTATGCTCGCCATCGAAACACAGCGGCATAACCACGAAGTGCACTTTTTCGCTCCGTATAATCCGCAAGATATGCAGCTCCATCTTGTTGCGGCATTCCCGTGCGCGGGCAAGCCAGGCGTCCAGTACTCTTGATGACAGGGGCTCGCGATCGTGAATGCCCGAAAACAGCTCCGACGCAGAGTCTCCCGCCAGAGCAACGACCCGCGGGCTCACTCCAATACGCTGGTTCGTCTGATCATGAGGCGCAAAGTCCACGATAACAAAGTAGGGTTGTCCCGGCGTCTTGTCGTCGAGCGATGCGACAGCATAGTAGTAATCCGAAGTGTGGTTCTCGCGATGATAAGTGACTGCTGCATGAAGGTCCCACAGCTCGCGGCGCGAAAGGTTGCGTACCGTGGCTGAAATGACATGAGTGCTGTGTAGATGTCACTTCACGAAATGCAAACCTTGTCTGCCAGATAAGAATGCGGAGCACGTATTGCGATGATTCCCCTGCTTCCAATCAAAACGTTGGCAGTCCGCCGAACAATAAAGCGACACTCTACAGTGACTGCATCGTTTCAACTGAGCTTTGGCCATTGTTTTCGAGCACTGCGGTAGCTTGAAGTTGTGCGTCAATGTTTGTTTTTCCGCAAAGAAAAAAAAAACAGGAAAACGGTACCTTGCCCGAGCTACAAATGCCATAAGTCGCATGGCCTCGCACACTAGCAGCTGATTGAGCAGCGACACTGAATTCCAGCATTTTAACCATCTGGAAGTAGGACGCGGATGAGCTGGATTGCAAGAATGTAGGGGAAGTCAAAACTGGATAAGCGTCCTCTATCGTGCTGGTGATCAACAGATGAATTGGAGAAAACAGAGCTTCCGAGCAGAGAACGTCCTTGAAGATGGCGTTGACTGCATCGCAGATGATAGTGTGGCCATTATCACGACTGCTAGCCCGTGCCAAGGCCGATATGAGACCGTGTCGCAAGGAAATTTTGAGAGCAGAATGACGCGTGAGGGTAAGCAATCTGAGAAGCTTGAAAACACCGCAGACCCCCCCGGTGCCAGAGCCCAATATGCTCCGTCGGATAACCAGATGTGTCGGTCGACAGTAAGCAGAGAATAATTTGCATGAGCATCATTGGGTTAAGAGATGATATGAAGATTTGAAGAAATTGTCCGCTGTGGCGGCGACCAGTGGCACTACGACGTTGAACAAGATTGTCGATGGAGGAAACAGTGGAGCCTAAACAAGTCAGGAGTTCGTCGGCGAAGTTCGACGCTGCCCCGGATGGTCTGCGTTTGAGCTCTGTCGTGTAGACTTGCAAGTGCAGAACTATGAGTTGGGCGACGTTATAGAGACTACCGCCGGCGCCTGCAACGATGTCTTCCAATGCACCATCAGAATAATCTTGTTGCCGAATGAAGGCAGTTATGAATCTGATATCCTCGTGAATATGGTCGCGATGTGTTGAGAGGCAGAGACTCCAAAGGCGGTAGACCGCTCGTAGGAAACCAGGCTCTTCGACAGCAACCTTGGTATCGTCCTGATTTCGGATGCCAAATGCCGCGTGTGTGAAGCGCAACAACGAGACGATGATATCCACCTCGTAAACGTCGTGGTCATGCCGAAATGAAGCAGGAATAGCTGCAAAGTGTTCTTGCAAGAAGCAGGACCAGCGGCAAACTCGGACCCATATTTCTTGGTATGGCGCACGAGAACGGGAATGGGATGTAGGATGGCCTTCCTCAATCATCAGTTGCAGATTCATTGCTTCCCGACACCCCAGGAGCGCGACAAGCGCTGTATTCAAACAGAATGCTTGGAATGGCGATAACTTGTCAAGCGCAGTGGGAGGAGGAATACGGGTTGGATCCAGAAGAGTCCAGTAAACTGGAAGCAGGAGGACCTGATCCTGTGGATCAGCATGCACCAGTAGCTTGAATTGAGAAAAATCGCGCGGCTCGTCGGAGATCATAAGCAAGAGGGCGATATTCTAGCCAGGCACCAAGATTAGTGAGTTACAACTGTGCATTTGAGCTATTTGACACGAACGCGCAATCGGGTCGGTAGAGATTGGAGATTGCGCCTTGAAAACAGGGCGTGCATTTGCGGATGATGATGACAGTTAAGAGCAAGCCGCGTAGTCACGCTGTCACTACTTCTTCTGGCTTCGACCACTAGTACGTACTCAGAGGCTTATTCGGGTCTTGTTTTGGTTAATACCATACCAATCGTGACCGACCCGGCCTATGCATTGAATTCGCGCGGCTGACTACTGGCATGGAACGAGGACCGAGGCATTACTCGCGGAATACACCGGCCGTTAGAGGGGTGGAATAGCAGCAAAGGGTCGGAAAGTATGTATATGGCTGTATCCGAGTTGGCTGTATCGTGAATGAAAAGAGGCAAGAATTTCATCGTGTAGTGTATATGATACAGTGAGGGGCGATTGCGATCTCGAGAGTTTTCGAGGTCCGCAGTCGAATGGTAACTTGGGAAGAATACGCTCCCAAACGTGGCGGTGGAAGCGCAACGCAGCCGCCGTTCGCACTCGATGGATGGTTTGGGATGTCGAGGAGATAGTTTGCTGGCTCGGAGAAGGGGGCATCTGAAAAAAAACGGTTGGCGGCCCGGGCAAAAGTGGTCAAAAGCGCCAGCAACAAGCACTACAGTGCTGGAATCGTCCTTCCGGAAACTAGTTTCGTCGATCATGGGTTGACCGTCGCCAGGGGCCAGAGTCAAGCACGGTAGGCGTCAAAAAGGTGACGAAGAGAGGAATGTCGTCGTCGATAACGAAGCCGAGATTTGGCTGCGGCGTACGAGCGCACGATGGAGGTGCGGTTAACCCTCTGTTGGGAGCTTGTTGTTTGAGTGTATAAGTGCGGGGATAATTGGGGGAACCAGCTGGGCGAGAAAATGGGATGGTCGCGATAGTGCGCGGGTCGCATGTCTGGACGCTAAAAGCGGATATAGCCACAGAGGTCGTGGAAGCGGGTTGGGAGAGAATGGATGGCCATAGGCTGTATTCGGGTGTGCGTGCCGAGGAAGACAATGGCGATCTTTCGATATGACTGGGGAAATGGCGTTGGAGACGCATTGTGCGATGAGGGAGTGAGATTAGACGCTGGGGATGCGTTGACCGCGGCGCGAAAGCCTCACGAGCAGACGACTCGCTCCCGTCGTTGTCCATCCATGACGACGTAGTCCCAGCTTTCCGTCGTAGCAGCGCGATATACGGGCTGCTAATGCGGGGGAGCTGGATGATATGTGAGAGGAGAGCGGGATTCTGGGAGGCTTTGAGTCGGGGGAACGTGCTGGGGGTCTGCAGAAGACCGAGGAATATGTCGTCAGTATCTGAGCAGAACAACTCCGAGCCCGCGGAGCACACACCATTACGCACTCCCCCAGAGCGCCCACAGAGCCACTCACTTCCGCCGTCTCTCCCCAGCCCACTCCAGCGTCGCCTACTCCTCGTTGCCGGAATCCCCTTGAAGTCAAGCGATGAGGCCAGGCATGGCGGAACGTGAGGGAGTACACACACACCTGGACAGTGCCATCCAGCGACTCACGATGCAACTCAGCGGCTCCAGTCCCGTCCTGGCACCAACTCAGTGCGGCTTGGGCCCCACGAAGGCGGGGGAGCGACCGGGTCACCGATGCACGCCGTGGTTGTACAGCTCTGAATAACGCCCGTCAGTGACATTCAGCAAACTGACATGGACAAGCAACTTACCAGCGTGAGGGCAGCGCACTGTGGTGGGCGGGCATAGAAGAGAAAAGAATGGGATCTGCGTGATTGACGTGGCGCGCACGGACCATGCCGTGAGGCACGTGCCACGTCATCCGCCTCTTGCCTTCCGTCCACCATGTGGCAATGACGGCGCAGCGCCGGTGTTGCTGTGCTGCGGCTCATGCTCTGCGCAGACAACCTGTTTGCTTACTCTTGATGGAGACGACTATTACTGGCGCTCAAGTCTTCGCTGGGCCGACGCTGGCGCCGACACCGAAGGACTGCGTATGCGGAATAGATGGGCGGACATGAAGCAGGGGTGTTTGTTCTCGGTAGAATGGTGTGTCTGGATCCATGCTTATTCTCCTCAAGCGTGCTAACGGATCCCTCCACTTCTTCCCTCACTCTCTCCAACTTGAATCGGATCCCACTTGGAGCGCCGTAGGACGCGGGCCTTGTCATTGGTACCAAGATTGGTACAGCGAAGGACTCTTCGAACGCTGGCGACGAGCCGGACCACGCGTCCTCCGAAACCCCGCCGACTTCTGCTTCGACAACTACAGTGACGGTGCCTCTTCAATCATGCTCCTCGCCCGTCTTTAAGTTCTCGCGATTTCGAAAATGCACGACTATACGCCAAAGACTCTCCTTTCCATCTGCGCCGCGGTTTCCTGCGTCATCTCGCAACGTCTGCACCGCCGAAGCGCCTGAGCCCGGGAGCCGAACAGGCTTGCAAGCCCCAGCGTCAAGTACGAGTCCATAGGGATGAAGGCCGCTCGCCCCGCGAAACTTCCCTTGTGAGCGCGCTCAGTATACGCGTAGCCTGCGGGTGAGCTGGTTTGTGCGGAGATATGCTTCCTCAACTCCTGGAGTGTCGAATCGGCTCTTCCGTCAACGACTCACACTTCTTCAGTGTGTTTCTCGCCTTACAAAGCGGTTTTCTACGGCATTGCCCCCGCTTCTCGCAAATACCGGCTGACTTCTCACTCGAGCCGCATGCGCTTTGGTACTCGTTTATCCTGAAACTTCGGAGTAGACGGGGGCAGTACGTCAACCAGAGCGGTCACCCCAAGTATATGCTAACCCCCTCAGAATCATTTCGCCGTACGCGTATTGCTGCAGTCCTCATGAATTTTTCACATGATGAAACTGCCTGGATCTTGCGGGCCAGAATCGATCATTGAAGGAGAACCTGTACATCCTCAGTTAAGCTCCACCCCTTCTCATCTGTCATGGCCAGCTCTCGATCGGGTTCTTTCCGCTTCGCTCACAAGGAACACTGCAAGGAGTGAGTCTCGATAACCCAGAGTTGGCGCGAGAACGGATTTCAAAGCCACTTGCGATAACAAGAACCGCGCGAGCGTCTGACGCAGTATATAACCAGCTTGACCGCCAACCATAGCAAAGGTGCGGAAATCCCGGAGTCGTCTTGTGCGGCGCACATGGGCAGGCTTGTTTGTGCAGGTCTGTGTTTGTCTGTCGTTGTTCCTCCTCGTAATATTTTCAACTGATTATGATTGCAGTCCGCTAACCACGGAAACGATTGTACTGCCGCGTCTCCTTTGCGAACAAAACCAACAAAGAATCCCAGACGTCTGGCTTGCGGCACTCTCACATCCGAGTGGGCTGATCTCAGGGACTCCTTATTCTGCTTCTAGCCCTTGGTGTTGTATTATCTTGTACGTCCTTCCCTCTCATCTTCCCTGATCGGTGCTCAATTCGCTTCCTTCATTAAGCGTCATATACTTAGCTAGCTACATCAAGTTTGTCAACGGAGGATACACCGACGTGTCATTGACAACGAATGGATGCCGTATGTTACTTTGCTTGATCAGCCCACGAGCATCCCGCTCCGTACGAAAGAGACCGGCCACTCGGTGGTCCGCGCCGGGCCAAGGCTATATCTGTGCTGCTGATAGCGATACCCGGAGATGTCTCTGCTTATTGTGGCACGCCCCGGGAGGCAGTGGAGCCGCTGCGGTAGATTCTGTCGGTCGCCCTCATTATTGGGTGAGAACAAGAAGGAGATATCGCCAACATACTGTATTTCGGTACTCCGCGACAGCGACATGCAGTCTACGCCGATCCCAAGCGCTCCTTGGCCCACTCGACAAAGTCGTCGATGGAGGACGGCCACGCGGCGTCGACGTCGTATGTTGCGAAGCGCGCGTCAATCGAGCGCACAAAGTCGAGGAACTGTGAGTTGGTGAGTACCAGCGGGCAATACGGGGAGTCTTGGCGAAAGGGGAAAGGGCTGGATGTGGAGGAGGAAAAAAACACACCATGATCCATGTATCTTTGCTCACACCGTTGCTGCGCTTCTCCGTGAGGAATTCGGACCACCAGTCGTTGTATTCGGGACGCCACCCGTCGACCTCTGTAGATCGCAGGTCAGCTGTGAAAGAGAGAACAACTATGGAAGGAAATCAAGACAACGCTTTTCGAGAGCCATATCGGTTCGATATGGAACGAGCGAATAGCAGGAAGGTGGAAGCGGAAGGCCAGCATTGACGCGGTCGCACACGACAACGAGCATTGCGATAAGCCCACGAAAAGTAGCGAAGGGGGTAGGGAGAAGGAAGGAGGAGGAAGACGGGGGAGGAAGACTGCAATATACACGCACCCATAAGTGTGTCCCCGTTATCATCCACTCTTCCTCCCAACGTTGCATACGGTAGCAGCAGTCCCAAAGCGCAGTCGCCGTCTCGAGCGCTGTACAGGATTGCCATCGATAAGCCATCGTCAGAGGCAAAAAATGACCACACGCACGAATACTCCGCTGCCCCTCGCTCTTCGCGAACTCGAACGTGTTGTTGTAGACCTTCTGGAAGTATTTGGGGTCGACACCAGACGTGAGACGCGTGCGGAGGCGGGAGAGCGCCGCTTGCATTGCGGGAATAGAGTCGGCGCTGGGCGTAGTCAGCGACCGGGAAGAAGGGAGAGAAAAAGGACAAAACAGACCCAAGAGCCTTCCAGCCATCGACATAGCCCGCTCTAGACCACTCGTCCATGTGGGGGCTCTTCAGCTCAAAGGCAACAGCAAGCAAGACCACGTCTTCGGGGTCGACGCCGAGGTCCTCGCACATCCGAATTGTCCCATCGACCGTTATCTCCTCGCCATCCGCGTCTGTTGCTGGTGAGTATGGCGAGTAGTGCCCAACAGCGACGTGCCCTTGTACTTGTGAAACAGCGCGTTGAGTCTGGCCGTGGCAGACGCGCCGGACGCTGGCCGGACAAAGTGGGACTGGGGCGGGGGTGAGGCGGGAATGGCGTCCGGATCGCTATAGTAGGCGTCTACCGCGACATCCATCCACTTGTACTTCTCTAGGAAGCGACGCGCGTCCTTCACTGTGGCGCCATCGGAGTCAGCAACGACAATGGGAAGGGGGAAAGGCCACGCACGATGCGCCGGTGACGCCGCAAAACTGCGCTATGTTCTCCTCCATCTTCTTGTCGACCATCAGCAACGGGGGTGGGGTCTTTGCAGCGCGTACAAGGGCGAGAACGGATGTGATGGGTGCGATGGGGCCGTGGAAGGTGGGGGAAGGTCGGAGAAGGAAAGGCCACAAGGTCAGCGATGACGTGGCTGCAGCAGCGCGGGCACTCACGGGACGAAAGAGGTGCACGTAGGCGGCAGCAGCGAGAAGCAGCAGCAGCAGCGCCCAGCTCGTCGTGGCGGTCGTCGTGGCGGAAAGGAAAGAAGAGTGAGTCGGCTGCGGGAGTGACAAGAATAAATCACGTCATCCGCATGACATGACGCCACTTTTTTTCTTCTTGATTCACGACCACCACCACCACGGCACTATTCCTATCTGCTTCTTATTTGCGCCTTCTTACGTGGGTAGCCTATCTGTCGTTCGTCCCCCCCGTTTTCAAGCACCGCATTCTCTCTGACGTGCCCTTGTTCTTGGAGAGCTCTGGCCCGTTGTCTTGCCGATAAGCTATCTGTGAGTCGCATCCACCCACATAGCTGAAGGCGCTTACTCAACCGCTTTCAGTGTACCTTTCCCATCTCTTTCGTCCGCCAAAGCAACACGACAAAAACGCGGGCGCTCTCCTCTCATCCATCGCGAATCGCCTCCTCCCTTGTGTCGCTCGGACCGGCTTGTGTGTGGTACTCTGTTGGAAACCCGCCCTGACGGCTTCCAGGTCCCTGTTTTGGCCAGCGTCAAGATGTCGCAAGGTCGCCGGGCTACCGCACGTGGTCGGGGCTTCCTGCTTCATAAACGGCAACAAGGCTGGGAGAAGCTTGCAATGTCGCAGGATATGTGCATGTCTTTCTCTATCTGATACCGCGCTCCGTTGACGCCTTTGCAGATTCAGCACTTGCGACAACAAGAAGGCGTTTCCTTGGCGTCGGACGCAACTCCTCAACAATCATCCATTGGAACAACGAACGCGCTTGTGCGGTATTGCCCATTCTAACGCTCCGAGTCATCTACCCTGCAATTGCTCTTCTTTCTGGCGGCATTCGATACCCAGAAGACCCCGTCCTCCACATCCTGCCACTTTTGCTTGTCAATCTACAACCAAGGCAACGACGCTCTCATCATAACAGGCAACGCTGGCGGCCTGCACAGCAGCGCCCCGGTCGTTGTGGCGGAAGAGAAAGAAGGGATGCTCAGCTGTGCGGAAACCGAGCTGTCGCATGTCTTTTCCACTCCAAGCGACATTTTTCTTGACTAGTTAGCTCGGCCTCGAGAGAATGGGCCCCCGCGTTCCCTTGTACCTCGTATGCAATTCATGTGCGGCTATTACAGTTGAGTTCCTCATATGGAATAATATCGGTGGAAACCCTACCCCTATTCCATATTACGGATATTCCATATGAAATTTATCTTGATTTTATATCTTATATTTATTTATTGTATTTTTATTTTATATTTTCATTTTCTGTTAGTTTTAGCATGCTCAGCATATAAACATGATCTGTGTATACAGTAAAGTATGATGAAATGTTTCTCTGAGTCTCCCTAGCCTTTGGTTCAAGCATAATCATCTTTCTAAAGAGTGTTGTTTACTTAATGTAGTATAGATAATAATTGGTGGGATTAAAGATGGCTGGAAGATGTTATACATTTGTATTTATGGTCATAATTTTGGTGCTTTAACTGCTTCTCCACCCAAATTTGGATGGAATAATTGCACAATCAGGCCATTCCATATTCCAGAACACAAATTGTGGAATATTTACTTCTCCCAAGGCTGTGGAAGGCTAAAACTTATTCCATATTGAGGATATTCCACATGGGGTGATTCCATATGAGGAACTCGACTGTACTCTTGTCTTTGTCACTCTCCTTAACTTATATTTGTAGCGTTAGGAAACCGGTCTCGTGTGCTCGCATAATTCTCTCCCGGCTCTCTTCCTACTCGTCGTGTCGATGGCGATATTCGCCCTCTGGACATTCATACGACTATTCGCGAGTGAACTAGCGTAGCGGCCCCGCGTTCTCTGCCTGTTTCTAAATTGCATCCTAGCATGCGGCGCTGGCTTCGAAACCCAGCAACTCGGTTGTGCTATACATCTGACGGATGTCTTTTGACTGTGAGTACTTCTCTTCATCGTCCAAGCTTTTTCGCTGACTCCGCGGCAGCTTCGGTCTTGCTACAGCTGCTAGTAGTACAGCAAGCGGGTTGGCTTCCGTTGCTTCCGGGACAACTCCTTCCACACCGCCGTTGCTCATCCCATGGAACTCACGAACGCAACGAGCGGTACTGCCTGGTGTTAAACTCCGACCCTTACTGCTTCTGACGCGGGCTTCCCGGTCGATACGGTCACTGACCGTTCCCGCGTGCCGTTCTGGGCAATGGTGGCCGAACTTGTGCGAAATCTGTAACTGGATCTTTCGAGTACGCCGTTCATTCTGCTTTCTAGCGACAATCGCTCCGGCTCACGCAATCCCCGGCCGTGGTTCCTGGTCTCAGACTTCAACCTTACCGCTTCTAACGAGCGCCCGGTATCAACAGTATTAGTGACCCCATTTTTGTCCTCAGGCTTCTGACGGGTCGATCGGGCGGCTGATCATGCTGTTGTTCCCGACATCCACCGCGCTTTTCTGGGGAAACGTCGGTGGCCGAGCTGGTGTGAAATTTGTCACTGTACCATGCTACATCTCTCAACTACGCCGCTCATCGCGGTTTCTAGCGACAGCTGCTCTAGCTCACGCAATTCCTGGTCTTGTGGTTGTCTTCTTGGTGAATCTCCCAAGCCACTGTGTGTGTCTTTCTCCAAAGACGGCGCAAGTCCTAAATCATAGCTTTTAGATTGGCGTCTTTCCAAGCGGCGACTTGTGCTTCGCACCTGCCGGCAACGGTTAGCTGCTCCTGAACCCGCAATCACAACGACGATATCGGAAGCACTTGAATCGCTCCCCAGCATTGCTAGCTGGTCGTTCGGCGACTGTCGCCGCACTTGGACTAGCCCTCTGCGGTGGATCTCCCATCGCGCTCCGGTATCAACCACCGTCCAACCATCGTTTCATACCATATCATCGAGTTCGCGACGCCGACTGCTGCGCCGGCGAACGACCCCGGGCACAAGGCTGCCCCCCCGCAACACCGCCTCACTGGTTTTCCGATCGGGGTGCTCCTCCTCTCGTAACTCGTTGGCCCTGCTTACTTTAAGTGCTGCGCCCAACACGCTCTTAATCACCTTGCCTCAAGGTCGACCATCCCAGCGCCGCCAGCGACTCAACGCAGAGAATTTCCCTCATTCTGTCCTGGGCTTGTCTACAATCACAATCATCTCCGCACCTCGCCGGCCGCGCAATCGCCGCCGCTCACACGCACCACCCCGCAAACTCTGTTCCGACTGTATAGCATGCCCAGCGCGGCATTAGCGGTTCATCTCGCCGCATCCGTCCATGCACGCGACCCGCCGGCGATTCGCGCGCCGGGCCCGGGGTCCAAGATCAAGCGATATAGTGGATATATCGATATGGGGGATGTATCGATATCGCTCTCCACAGCAGGCGCGCGCGCTCCCTTATCGCGCACGACTGGTATTGCGACAGAGACACGATCGCGGTGGGTAGCGTTCTCCTCCCGCGATGCACGCGCTGCCATGTAACTCCTGTTCCCGCTATCAGGGAAAAGCTGGCGCCATTGGAGCCTTTGCCCCGCGGATGCAGGTGGAGTTTGTTGGGTTCTAATTTGTAAATCAAGAACGGCATGTATGAACGAATGGATAGCATGATTTATGGCGCCTCACTGACTGAATTTCAACCTACGCACACACTGCTCCGTCGCTCACACGACCAGCGAGCACTCCTCCAGCCGCTCAGCCAGGCTTCCCAACGGACTCTACATATCATGTGAGCACTCCATTTCACCGTCCGCAGTCATAAAAACCCACATTTTGAGAGGAAAGGCGGAAGTGCTGCGTCATGATGTCGAAAGCACAGTTGCGCTTTGCAGATGATGCAGCGTCGTGCTGGCGCAGAGCTCGAAGGGGAGCGTCGTAATTTTCCTCCGCCCAGGAACCTACTGGCCGTTCCCTCAGCGAAACCTTGCACCGTGGCGGGGCCTGCGGACATTTGTTCACCCATTCGACGACGTTTAACAGCGGAAGCTTCTCGAGAACGAGCTCGAAGTCGACAGTGCGGAGATGGTCGAGGGACAGTAATGAATCAATTGCGCGGTATGCGGTGAAGCGCAATATCTCCTGGGCAGTTGCAGGGCGTACGCCGTGGACTTCGAGGCTAGTCAGTGCGGGAGTGTGGCGCAGAAGATTGGCGAAGGGAGAGATGGCGGCTGTCCCGATGTTGCGCGCGACCAAATGTGTCAATTTGGGCAGCCACAGCTGCTTCACCCATTCGTAGTCCAACTCCCGCCCAAGGTTTATCTCCAGTGTGTGGAGATGCGCGAGGGGGGGTGCTTTATAGACAAGATCGGCATCATCGTGCGGCGTTGTCCGGCTCACGCTCATCGTGAGTGATTCCAGCTGGGGCATGCTCTTGAGGAAGTCGTAAGCATGAGCGCGGTCGACGCCACTGACGGAGAAGGTGGTGATCTGCTCCCATGGCAGCACAATCTGCTCGCGCCGAACAAAGGCCAGGGTGACGGCGTGGAGTACTGGGGCATCGGCGAAAAGGGTGAGGGGAGGGTGCGTGGCCATGTGGCAGGAAGACCAGTGGGAGCTCTCCAGAGTCAAGCTTTGGAGACCCACGAACTTGCCTCGGCACTCATCGAAGATTGGTGCCGGCTTTACAAGGGCATGAAAAGCACTGGTGTACCGGGCCAGTCGCAGGGCCACCTCCTCCATAAGGCCTGGGAGCGCCTCCGAATCACCAATTTCGAGGTCGAGCGGGTAACTGCGTGATTTTTTGAGCCAGTATTGCCGCGACGGGTCTGCCGCATTACAGATGGCAAGTTTTGACCACAAAGAAGGCAAGGAGAGTGCGACGCGGCGCCACTCGCGGCATACGACGGTCAGAGTTAGCTGTGGGGCGGATGGATCACGACATCCAATTCTTATTTTCCGCGTACAATGGTCGAAGATTTCGCCTAAGATCTCAGATGGCAAGTTGAGAATGCCGTCGTAGGTTACCGCTTGGAGCCGGGCCACAACACAGCGTCGGGAGGCGAGGGTGGCGGCTAGCCGAGCGCGTAGTTCATCGATGTCGTCGTCAATCTTTTGCAGCTCTGCGCGGATGGCGGCGGGTGTGGTGTCGGGAGTTGGGGACATGGTGGTTAGGAGCAAGAGCGGCATGTAAATATGCATTGTCATTTGGTTCCAAATACATCCCCTGTCTTTGTCCTATGAATGAGATGAGCCCCTTGGCTCTCCTATCGAACAGGTCAGGGTCGTGAATATAGCAAGACGGTGGTGACGCACTTGGGGTGGTCCAACCCTTCACGGAATCCACACATTCCTCCACCTCGCATGCATCTCGACACCATGGAGCTGTTAGATGTCGAAGAGGAAGGCTCTGAGTGCTGAGCCACCGACAGTATGCTGGTCGCCGATTCGAGTGAACGGGAGGAGAGCCTTCAAGAAGGCGACCTCAATGGCGGAGTACGATGAGCAGTCGTTAGTACGGCGCAATCGAGAGGTACCTGGAGGGGGGGGGAGAATAACGCCACGAGCGTAGATGGGGGAAGAGAAAAAAAACTTGGGGACGGCGGGACGATCTGCCCGTGATTGACGTGGCGCGCACGGACCATGACGTGTTGCACGTGCCACGTCAATCGCTTCTTCCATCCCAACTCCCATCTGATTCTGGCGCAACCGTCCGAAAGCTGCCTCTGATGTTTATATATTGTGGCCTTTGTGTCTGCAACTTGTATTCAGAGCCGCCGGGGCTGTCATGATTGCTACCTCAAGGGTCCAACTTTAAGATCTGACGAGTACTCTGACAACTTCCGACGCCCGACTGGGGAGCAGACGATATCGTTACAACTTCTGTGTGCTCACACACGCCCGCGCTCCTCTTTCGCTTTCGCAGATTGGCCACACTACCTAAGTATTGCTCCGTTCTTCGAATATCACCTCAGCATGCTCTTACGCCGTAGGCCTACCCCTGCATACGGACCAGTCCCATTCAGCTTCAATTTTCCCTCTTGCTGCACTCGCAGTTCCTCAACTCCATCGTGTACGTCTTGAATAGTCCTCACAGCTCCACCAACCACGCAGCGCCGTCTAAGCCGCCCGCCGCAGGGCCGCCAGGGCGGTAGATTGCATCGCTCTCGGTGCCCTCTAGCGCCGAGTATTGCGGCGTCTCTGGCACCGGCACCGGCACCGGCCGCTGTGCCACCCGGATCACGAGGCCTGCCGCGGCACAGTCGGCGAGCGCTGCAGCCATGTCGAGCTGCGGCTCGCGCAGGAGAAAGCAGCTGAAGGCCGTGAGGCGCGCCACGGGCGGGTCGGCCGCGGGCAGGGCGGTGGTGCGTGCATGGACTAGGTCGACCATGAGCGCGTCCGGCGTCAGCTGCACGAACGTCAGCTCCAGGTGGCGCAGTGCGGGGCACAGCGGCACGGGGTCACTTGGGAGGAGTCGGGTGAGATAGCGGTGGTCCTTGGAGGCAAACGCGAATCCGGGGGCGGCGGTGGGGGCGGCAGGCGGGATGGGCTCGCCGATGAGCCGCAAGCGCTCGAGCACGGGCACAAGGCGGAGGACGGAGACGAGCAGGTCGGTAGTGAGATAGTCCAGCGTGAGGACAAGGCAGCGGATATGGTCCAGGCGATCGAAGATGTCGGGGACAACAGTCAGCCCGCGCGAGACGTTGAAGGTGTGCAAGCGCGGGACGTCGAGCATATGAATCGCAGTGGACATGTTCCCAGCGTCGAAGAAACCCAGGTCGAGCAATTTCAACTGGGGAAGCAAGATTGAGCAGTCTCCGTCGGGGGTGGGAAGGAATCCGTAGCCGCTGATGGTTACCGCAAGCTTTTCCAGCGATGCACAATGGGCCAAAAAGGGGAACGGAAATTCAATGAGCTCCATCTGCGGCGCCGAAGTGGAGCTGACTTGAATGTCGAGGGACACAAGATTTTGCCAGTACACGTCGGGAGGGAACGAGGGATAGTTCCCTTGGATAGAAAGGTGCCGGAGGCTTGGTGTCCCGAGAAAGTTGAGCCGCGGGGTCTCGGCAAAGGACATGAGGTCGAAGCTCTCCAATTGGGGGACATCGCTGGCCCGCAGTCCGGCAAGCGCCTGCGTGTCCTCGTTACTCAACATCCACAGCTTCATCTTGCGCCAGCGGCCAGAAGCCCCCATGAGCGCGCGCAAGAATGGGGAAGGCCCGCTGCCAGGTACACCGCTGGAATCGGCGGCGTCCACCGCGGACTCGGCGAGCGGCTGCCGGGACACCTGCATCGTGATATCGAGCGGCGCGTGACCGCCCCGGGCGAGGAAAGTGGCCAGCCGGGGCGCGACATACCACTGCTGGGGCAGCGCGCCGACCCAGCCGGGGGGGATTGGCGGAAACCGCGCAACGACCACGTGAATGGTGGACCAGAGCTGCGGAGTAGCCATAACGAGGTCCTGCCAGTACCTGCACACGCTGGCCAGGAGCAATGGCCCCTCGCTCGGATGCATCGCTGTGTTCCGCCGCTCAGGGAGTGTCTTCAAGAAGATCAGCCGCAAGATGTCTTCAGGAATGCGCCGCATAGGCGAGAGCAGGGCGTGATGCGCCGCGACGAAGTTGCCCAGCTTATCACGCTCCGAAGTGGTGGCGTCGAGCTGCACGCGGAGGCGCTCGACCTCGGCGTCAAGCTCGACTAACTTGGCCTGGTGCGGCGCCAGAAAGTCGCGAATGTGCCCACATTCAGCATCCGTGGGGACGCTGTTGGTGTCGAGTATTGCGTGAAATGGGGACTCGTACGCAGGCATGCCGCTTGGCCTGGACCGTGGACGAAGAGGTTGCGAAAAGGATCCAAGATGGTGGGCGAAAGCAAAGGGCGGCGATTGACATCAATCTTCATTGACATGTCTTTTGATTCGCCAAGCGTCACGTCACATCAAAACTCCCACGTCACCAGCTTCTGTTCTCGACCGTCATGTTGCCCAACGAGCTCCTCCTCGAAATCCTACACTATCTCTCGACTGCCGACCTCCGCAACATCGCATCCGCCTCTCGCCGTCTGTGTGCGCTAGCACGCACGCTGCTGTACGCCGCCATCGAGATCCGCCCGTTCGTCATCAATGCCAATGGGCATCTGTGTGGCCTCTCTGCCGCGCGTGAGAAGGCGCTACAGGACAGGCTGGTTGTCATGGGCTCGCCCCGCGTGGCTCCACACATCCAACTCCTGAAGATTTCGGCCTGGCGCATCAAGATTAGCCATTGGCCACCGCGAATCACCCGGCCGGTGGCGCGTCCACAGCCTGCAGGCGACGTGAGCCGCGACCCACAAGCTATGCTCCCGTCCATCTTCGCCGTCGTTGTCAGCCTCATCAATCTCCGCACATTGACTGCCGAGAAAGTGCAGTTCACACCGGCCGCACTCGATGCGCTAGCTCAGCTTCAATCTCTCCATACGTTCTCAATCTCGGACTGCACGCTACACCTCCCCTCCTCTCATTCCTCCTGTCCAATCCTGCATGTTGTGCACTTCGAGATGTACGGCGGCGCTCTCCACCATTGGCTCGCGCTTATGGCTCCCGCCATCCTGCGAGAAGTGCATTCCTCCGCACCAGCGGGCTTGGAAGAGGCCACCGAGTTGGCGTCGCTGCCTCCCTTTCCGCACGTCACTATTCTCCACATCCTGTCCTCGAAGAGACTTGCACTTGCCGCGACTCTCGCACCATTCCCCCTCTTGTTTCCGGGCTTGGAACGCCTAGATGTCAGCAACAATAACCCCTTCCCAAACCCGAGGCGCGATGGCGATCCACCAATCGGCGCACCAGCTGAGTGGGTCTCGGACTTGCCGCGCTTCCCTCAGTTAAAAGAACTAGTGGTGCGAGAACCAGCGGCGTTGCTCGTTCTCACAATGGCGCGCGTTGGCGTGCTTGACGTGGTCTTCACTGGTGTTCCGCCGCTGCTACAGTCTCTCGCTTCTCTGCCAAGGGTGGCCTTTGCAAGGATTACGTGCCTGCGCTTGAAGCTTGGGCGCTGCGACATCCTCGGGTGCGAATTGCTCAGCAGACTATTATCCTATTTCCCAGTCCTGGAGGTGTGCGCTATTTTCCTCGATCTGCGAGAGGGGAGACAATCGGTGCGCACTTTCTTTCCCTCGCCCCGGGTAGCTCCTGACAACCGTGCAGGTCATTCTGCTGACGACATCCCTCCCTGCATGCCTTCCCCGCGCCTTGCGGGCGCTCAGACTGCTCGCCGAGGACCCGCATGATCCGGCGTACATGTGGGACATGGAGGTGCTGCCCCCCGATGCGGTGCGTGACCAGCTGGTGGCCCGCTGCCCCGGCCTGGCGTACATCGACATGCGTGTTCCGTTGTTCACCCTGCAGTGGAGCGCGGGTCCTGGGGCGGAGAGCGAGCTGATCGGATGGGAGCGTTAAGTAGGCTGATTGTCTCTTAGAGCTCTCCTGTCGGTTGTCCACTGGTGAGTTGAACGCTCCGGATTCATTTAGTCATAATTACAACTGCACTTATATTTGGCGCCACTATTGAGTAATGGAGCTGTACTTCTTGTGACACACATATACTTCTTAGTCCATGCTGCGGCTGTTATATGGCCTTCAAGGCCGCTCGCTATGGCACCTTGTCGTGATATACCACTGACCAGTGGAATAAGAGAAATGATCAGTCGGCGCGCAAACCGACACACCTTCTCTGATCTCTTCCCGTTGGCGCTGCCCCGCGCTGGCAATGTCGCCGGCTGCGACAGCCGATCGACGGCGTGCCCAGGGGGACAAGTGTTCCGGCTTGGCGTGGTACTTGTAGCCGCGGGGGCCGGACCCAATCCGCTTCGTCGGCCAACTGTTCGAAACCCTAGCATACCTTTTGAAGTAATCCTCCTCTCGAAGGCTGTCTCCGCGGAAGGAAAGACTGGGCGATGCGAGTTGCTGCGAGAATTCGATGTGGACGAGGTGGGGCATGCGGGGCAGCGCGCTTTCGGTAGCCGAGGTGAAACTCACAAGCATAGAAGAACTTAGAGAAAAAGGATAAACCACGTTATCGGTCCCGACTGTGAGCCCGCTCCCTGGCCAACACGCCTCGATTGACACCGCGAAGGAGACGAGATGCGGTGCAAAGGCGGCAATGCTGTCCATGAGCAGGATATCCCCGCTAATGGTGAACGACGTGATGTCTAGCAGGCGGAGGGCAGGTATATCGATGCCCATGGTGGAGAGCGGTGACGAGACCAACGTAAGGTGCCGCTGGACAGACGGCGGCGGCGAGCTTGCCAGTCCTCACCAAAACGCGCAAAGCGGGGAGGGCCACGGACAGCGGGAATAGACTACCCGAGTGTGACCAGACGCCGAGTGTCCGCAGCTGTGGTGCGTGTTTCACGACGAAGCTTGCCGTGTCGCCGGTGAGGTTCTGGAGATCGATGGAAATAAGGTGTGGAAATGCCAAGGAAGCAAGGATATCCTCCGCGGAACCAGAAGGAGAACTGACAGACTGGAGGAGCGACAGGTTTGCCAGCGCAGCACGTATCAGCCCGAGAAGATTAGTCAAGGTGTCATTCTCACTGTTCCTGGAATGGCGTCAACGCAGGTTAGACTTCAACGCCAGATAACGTACCCCCAGAGGTCCAAAGGATCGAATTTAACATGGCGAACCAACGAAGCATATTGTTGGTTGTTGATCAGGGTGTAGAGAATGCGAGAGCGTGACGTATCGAATGCATCTATGTAAATTGAGTCGTAGAGCGTGCGCAGAGTGATGTCGTGCACCTGGCGGCATGTCTTCGCCAGAGCAAGGGTGGAGGCGTGTTGTGGCAGGTGATCCTCCGTCGTGTTGTCAGCCATGCGCTCGACGATTTCGGGTGGTAAGAAGTCGAAGAAGTTTGAAGGGCGGGGGGAGGCCATGATGGGTTTAGGGACGGCCCCACCTTGCAGGCCTTTTTATACGGCTTATGGGAGCTTGGACCTGCGCACACTTTGTTGTGGAGCTGTCGCTCGCGCTTTGATCAAATTGCACCCAGGACCCTAACCGTAGATGTTGTGCCACGAAACTGCGTAGATCTAGGCCGAGCAATTCAGCAGGGAGCGAGTGCGTCGGGACCCAAGACCAGGGAAGCATAGTTGTCGCTTGGAGTACTAGGAACGTTAGCGAGCTGAGAAGCACCAGAGAAATACGGTGCACACACGTTTAAGATGGCTCAAACTCGTCTCTCCGTTGTCCGAGTCCTGCGCGCATATCGACCAGTTCCAATTCATCGAAATCCCTACAGCCCAAAAGCAGCCCCAAGCAGCGAGCCTTCCTCCGCGACATGTTCAACCGAAAAAGGGTATCCTCCGACGCCGTTGTCCTCTCTGCCCAGCGCACACCCCTGCCACGTCATCAGTATCCTTTGGATGACGGCGTGGATCCAGGGCCTGGCAGACCTTCTTCTGGCGATCATCGGTAGGCAGAAAGCCTTCTCACGAGCAGAGTGGCCGTGTTCGACCCAGCCGACGTGGTGGAAGAGAAGGAGGAGGAATCACGCCATTTCCTTTTTTGGCGCCACACGATCGGCCGAGCCCGAATGACGTCATGCGTGTGACGTGGCGCACGTGGCCGCCATCATCTTGTCAACAACCCCCATCTCCGCCTCCTCGCGACCGCCGCCTGCCCCGTCCCTTCGTATCTTTCCGCGGGAGGGTCGTCGAACAATGATCGTTTGCCTTGATCGTTCATCTCCCGCGTGCGCGGTGCGTTCGCCACGTGGCAGGCATGAGGGATACTGGAAGGCGACATAGGGCAGGGCTTTTTCGACTCATATGGCTACTTCGTGCGTTGCAAAATGTGTTGTCTTCTCTTTGCTTGCTGAAAGTATTCTGTAGAGCGGGACGCCAACTTGAAGCCGTCGACAATCGAGTTCTCCTCCACGTTGCGGATGTTTCCTTCCGGCTCCACGGGCGCGCGGACGGCCTTGTCGTTTCTCCCTATTTTATTCACATACCAGATCATCCCCGTTCTCTGCTCCTCGCAAGCAGCATGCTTGTGCTCGACACCATCGCCGGCGTGCGTTTCGCATTCTGTCTCTTCCGCTGGCGCCTTATACAAACGTCGTAGATGCGGCCGAATCAGATCTCCGCTGTCCCAGGCCTTCTCTCTGCGCTACCAACACGCTTCCGTCGGCCGTCATACGCTGTGAAGACAAGGAGGTAGATGAAATGCCGTGTCCAGAGGACGGCCACGATGCGCAGAAGGCTGCATCACGAGCGCGCGTCTGCGAGCTAGAGCTCACGCTGGCTTATTCGCACGGGCGGGATGCAGAGGCGGAGCCCGAGTGCATTGCTAACCCTAACCCCCCCCCCATCTTGCCTTGTTTCGTCTGCCCCGTACTTGGGCGCAAAAATGAAGTCCTCAAATTTTATATGTACCGAACGCCCGTACGAAGGGATAGCGGCGAGGGGGCGATCACGGCCGCGGCTGGCGGAAAGGTTGCAGACGACATTATAGAGAGGCTGGAAGGGAATGAGCACTGCCGCAGACGTGTGCATGGTGTTGGACTCGAACCTGCTTGCGTGGAAAAACTGGTGCCGGACCTTGCTGGGAGCAAAGTCCCTCTTCAAGTTCCAGCGCGTGCCAAACGTCGACGACTCATGTGTCGAACCCGGGCGACTCCGACAGGACTCTGCCGCCCCGGCCCGCCACCACGACTGGCAGCGGACGGGCTGCTGAGTGCCCGTGGCTTGGCTTCCTGCCTCGGGAGTCAGTGGTTATGGACCGTGTCAGTCGGCATCGGTGGTTGGGTAGGCCGGGCCGAGGCGCAATGCAATGCAACAGCGTACTGGTCGCACATCATTCCCGGGTGAAAAAGAAACCCAACGCCGCATTGCAGGCATGCTGTCTCGAACCGTCTACGTGAGGTTCCTTCCCGCGGCAAAGGGCAGCGGCGGAGGCAGACAGCTGGCGATGGAACTGGTCGACGAGGCCTCCCGCTATTGATCCTTACATCCCCGGCCTGCGGCCCGCCGTCCCGATCCAGATACCCATCCGCCCTCGGACATCCCCGCCGAAGAAGCCCGCGAAGCTGATCGCGGACATCATTTGCAATGCACAGTATCATCCACAGAAGCCACGCACGGGCTTCGCTCCGAGCCTCGCGCTTCTTTTCTTTGCGATGGCGTTGGTGTGACGTGCGTCCCCTGGACCCGCCCACCACAGGGCATGCCCTCCCCTCCCCAGCCTCCGCAGGGAAAGCAGCGCCGCCCCCGCTCACCCGTGTCGATGTACGTCGCCTTCGACGGCCCGCGCTCCCGCGCACCGCCGCCACGGCCGCTCCCGACTTTGTCCCGCAAGTCCTCGTAGCGAGCCAAGCAGGAGCCACAGTCGCCTGTGTCGCCCGTGTCCGCGTTCGTCCGTCTCGGCCGCAAGAAGAGCACCGCGTCCTCAGCGTCTGTGTCGAGTAGGAGCACTGTGCCGGCTCCGCCAGTACCGATACCGACGATGGACAAGCCCCTCCAACCGTTTCCCCCGACGGGCTGCGGACGCGGCTCGCCCGCTGGGAGGAGTACGTGGACCTCGCATAGCGCTGTCTTCCGTGCACTGACGATCTTGGACAGCGTCATCGACCGCGTTTCGCTGGATCTTGAGCGTATCACGGTTCAGGGCCGCTTCAGGCGCTTTTCCCACCAACGGCGTAACCAGGAGCATCTGGAGAAGCTGGAGAAGGCCCTCGTGAACGCGAGGCCGGATGAGCAGGTACGCGTTTAGACCAACGGTGTTGCCGATCTCATCGAGCCACAGCTGGTCCTCCACACACTCAGGCTGGCCGCCCGCTCTGCTAGTGCCGAGCAGAGATCTGAGGCCATGTTCACCGAGCTCCGGTCCCTGAAGACTCTCGTTGTCCACCACTCCGTTCGTCTGCCCCTTCCTCCCCATCACCCCGCTGTTCTGATCCCATCCCAGCAAGAAACCGCCGCGCTCCGCGCGCAAGTCCACCAAGTTCAAATCTCGATAATCTTTTTTGGATTGACCACAGTACCCTCGCATCCTGTCGCCCCGGCCGCGCCCCGCGCGCGCCGGCTCCCCGCACCCGTAGCGATACGGGCCCCGCCTCGAGTGTCGGCCTTGCAATCGCGATGTTGCAGCCGGCCAGGAGCAGCGACTGCTCCCGAGCGACGGCGGGAACACACGGGCGTACATCGACATCCGACACTGCACACTGCGCAGGTCGGTGGGGGAAGATCCAATGCTAGATAGTCATTAGTCGCGAGCACCACTTTTGTTCTGAATCTTACCGTTTAGCTTGTGTTTGCGTTGAAGGTGGACAAGCCAGTTTGAGAGTCCGCCTGGAGTACTAGGAGAACAAGCGTCAGGACGGCGGAGAGCATGTCGTACTCGGGAAAGAGCGGGCAAATGGGGTGGGTCGAATGTGAGCTCGGGGGAGACTCCGAGTAGGACTGGAGAGCGAACTTGAAGGCGGCCTGTACCGTCTGTTCGCCGTCTTTTGCTCGAACATGAATTGTCCATGGCGTCTCTGGCGAGGGACTGAAGTATATTCGGGCCCGGATGAGAGGCGTCGACTCGTGGCAGGTGTCGACAGGGAGGGCGGAAACTTGGAAGCTCGCCAGAGAAGTGGTGCCAAAAGCGCACCGGTGGGTCCGAAGCCGTTTCTGTGGTGCTCCGAGACAACATTCGTCCGGTTGCAGCCTTCGCGGTGCAGCTCGGGAACCTGAGGGTGAACCCCCCGATGACGTGCATAGGCGGAGGAACGGTCAGGGTAACATTTTGAGAGTCCATCAGATCGCGCACCATACACCGAGACATAGGCCAAACGAGAAGGATGTCCTCCGGCGGCCCTCTTCGCGTGGTCTTTCTCCACTCCGCCCACATACCCTGCCACGTCATCGATAGCCTGGATGAAGACGCCAGTGATAGCGGCCGATTTACGACCGGCAGACGTTGTGAAGGCGATCCTCGGTAGGCGGAAAGCGGGCCCACGGCGGAGAGTGAGCTGGAGTGCATGAAGGAAGAGAAGAAGACGCAAAACGTCATTTCCTTTTTCGGATCAGCCGCATGACGTGTGACGTGGCCCACGTACTCGCCATCATCTTGTCAACAACGCCCATCTTCGCGCCTTGGCGACGGCCGTTGGGCGCTTCCGTTCCTATCTTCGCATGGTGGGCTCGTGAAGCGATGGTCCCTGATCATCTCCCGCCTGCAGATGGAGTGGGTGGTATGGGCACTGGCAGCGAGATGGCCTCGCGGTCGGTACTGCCTCGTTTTCTCTCCTCTCCTCTCACTAGTCGCCCACGTCTCGACTCTCCCATGCTCGTCGCGCGCCAGTACACGACTGGAGAGTCCTCCTTCGCCTGCCCGACCGTTGACGCGGCTGGACAGCCTCTCTTGACAGGGACGAACAGCGAAAGCAACGGGAGCGCTGCGTCGATCTGCACTTATGGCGGGTCCAGCGGGCAGGCTTTTTGTGGAGACATGTGTCTACTTCGTGTGTTGCGCAGTGGGCTGTAATCTCTTCGCTTGCTCACTGTATTCTACAGAGCGGGGTCTACGAGTCGGGACCTGATACCTGTCCATTCGCACCGACGTCCGCGCCAACGCCAACGCCAAATCCAAGAACTGCCAGCCCTACCACCACCTCCACCAACCCGTCGACGACCCAGTTGTCCTCCCCATCTCCTCCGGGCCCGACGGTCGCGGTCGCGGCCACGCATACAGCCCCATCATCCGCGCCGAGCAGCCCCAGCCTCAGCATACACAGCCCAGCTCCCGCAATCAGCTCTGCTTCTGTCTCCTGCCCATTTCTTTCCCACGCGAGTACAGCTGTATCGCCCCCCTCTTCGCCTCCGCCTGGAAGTATCCCGCTTATGCCTGGTACCATCGCCGGTATCGTGCTCGGCACGCTGTCGATTGCCGCCCTCTCCTTGCTCCTTGCCTTCTGTCTCTTCCGCTGGCGCCACAGGCCACGTACGGCGGGAAGATCTGTTGAAAGTGTTGGAGACTCGGCCGAATCGGTGCTGTCCCCGCGATTACAGTCGCCGTATTTAGACTCCTGGGGCGACGCGACCACCAACACGCCTCCTTCGACCCTCCTAGACCGCGATGCTACGGTAGTCGACGGAATGATGAGTCCGGTGGATGGCCATGATGCGCTGCACTATGAGAGCACGTCCGCGAGCTAGATCTAGAGCTGGACTATTCGCGCCGCGGAGGAGGAGGAGGAGGAGGCGGAGGCGGGAGCAAAGCTGTCGGCAGACCCCGCTCCAACTGAGCTTTAACGCATTTTTCTCCTTTTTTTTTCTACCAAAACAACCTGTGGCCGAGAGCTGAGCAAAAATGATACATTGGGTTACCAAAGATATGTCTCGAACGCCCGTGCAGGGGACACCGCGGCTCAGCAAACTTGGGACACCAGATAGTTGAAGTTGAGACTTGGGAGAGCTGCTACAAGATCTGGGTATGAACATTGAAAGAACACAGTGCTGGTGTTGACACCCAAATATCCAGACATAAGTTGAACTATAAGAAAATCTCAGCCCCCCTCCTTAACTGTAATTTTAATATTCATTTTGGGAATTTTCTATGGGGGACATACTGCAAAAAAAGGATTCAGTAAATGTTTCCTACTCAACAGAACTTTTTTGTGGTGAAACTCCACTTTCTGCTGCATTTAGTATACAACTTTGGTGATTAAAGACAACTTTTAGGACGTGGTCAAAGACATGTTTGCCCCTGATTACAAGTTTGTAGAAAAGTTGTATCTAAAAACTCTAAAAAACGCAAAGTTGTACCTCCAAAAAGTTGAATCCATTTCAAAACATGTATCAAATACTTTTTTTACAGTATGTCCCCCATGAATATTTGCTGAAAAGTAGCGATAAATCATATCAAATTTGCCACCAAGAAGATAGGTTATAACATAACTAATTTGCGATAATTATAACTTTTCCAGGGCCAACCTTTTATTTGGCCAAAGACAACTACAACTTTCAAAGAAAAACTCGCTCTAAAATTGCCTTTGATGGCAAGTGATGGAGTAACTAAAGTTATACCTTGTCTGAAAAAAGTTGTATCTAGGCCCAGAACAGTTGTACCAGAGGCCTTGACAACATGTATCTTGAAAAGTTGCATCTAAAAATGTGCGCACTTATGGGAGACATACTGTAAAAAACAGAAAAGTTGTCATCAAGTGTAATCATGTCACCAGCCAGAGTAAAACATGTCACTAGAAAAGTTGTCTCTGGGGTTGACTTGTACATGTCCACAGGGTGATGTATCAAGTTGTATCTCCAAAAAGTTGTATTCATTTCAAGACATGTATGAAATACTTTTTTTACAGTATGTCCCCCATACGCACTTCCCAATGGCTAAAAATGTGTGCGTACTGCCATTGGGAAGTGCACACATTTTCTAGGCAAGGCCGTGGCAGGCTAAGAGCAGAAAAGGATAAAAAAAGAAAGAATATAAAGAGCAGAAGGGAAGAAGGGTGGGAGGGAGTGATAGCGTGAGAAGGGAAGGCACAAAAAAGTCTTGAAGTTATATAATATGGTGGTGACGAGCAGGTGCTGCAAATTATGTCAGCAACTAAAAGGTTATGTCAGTGTCGGATTTGGCCGAGCGCTGCCACGCTAGCTGGGAACAACTTTATTTCTACATGTAGCTTATTTGGATACAACTTAGACTTTTTTAACTTGCTATCACTGATATTATCAGTAGATCATACAAATATATTAAATGTGCTTTGCTCCACCACTGCCTCTATGATGGCCTTAGATAGCTGCTGATGGTAAGTACTATAGTAACTAAAGTTACACCTTGCCTAAAAAAAGTTATATCTAGGGCCAGAAAAGTTGTTTCAGAGGCTTTAACAACACAAGTTATAATTTACAAAGTTGTTCCAGTCTGAGTTGAAGTGGTATTTAAAAGTCGTTTCTTAAAAGGAAATTTGCAGTTGAAAAAGCTTACAATAAAGTGATATCCAAAAAAACTTCAAGATGTTGCTAGAGGAGTTGTCTACTTATTATTGGTTGTTAACAGCCAGAAAAGTTGGTCTTGCAAAAGTTAAATATGTGGAAAAGTCATTATCCAGTATAAACATGTTACCAGCTAGGCCCCTAATAGCTCTCTAGATGGGTGAGGCTAACCTAAATAGCTGTTCCTACAGGAGATTAGCACCATAGAGACACTAGTCAACTGTTACTCTATCCAAACTTTATCCAAAAGTTGTTACAAATCTACAAAACTTCCATTGTTTAACCATATTTCATTGATGAAAAAGCTTTAAAGAAGGGATGAGAGTTGAAATTATTGATTTATATTGGCTTTGAAAAAAAAAATCCCTGTGAACCTGTCAAACCCTTAGGGAATGGCACGGGTATACCCACGGGTATCCGAGGGCCTTCCCGTACCCTTACCCGCACAGCCACAGTACCCATACCCGCGGGTACGGGTATGGGTTTACCCACGGGTGGCGCATGGAGTCAAGGAGGCATGGTGACGAGACTGTGATTAGTGTCCAAAGTACGCCAGAAATGTGCGGTAAAAATGGCAGACAAATCCAGAATCGAACGGAGAACCTCTTGACCACCAACCACGAGGGGAACCAGCTGAGTCAGGAAGCGACGGGAAAGGGCTGCACTGACCCGTACCCGTACCCGCACGGGTAAAACCCGCGTACCCGCGCGGGTATGGCCTACCCGTGCCATTGCCTACAAACCCTGGGTTCAAAAACCCTTTTTCTTCGCCTTTTAAACCTTTTATTTTGGCCCTGGTTGATAAGATAAGACAGGGAGGAGATAAGATGGACGATAAGATGGTGATTGGATCATCAGATGTCGATGCTGATGTTGATTGACAGCGTGGAGTTGGACATGAGGCAAACAGCACGTAAAGGCATGGCTAAAGTATGACGTCATTGCCTCTCGTATTAGGCATGGTAAACACATGGTAGTAGTGTATATAAGTAGAGTAGATTTCGTCACCCGTTGTCGTAGCATAATCAAATCATTATGGGACTACCCACGAAAACAGATTGTATCAGACATGCTTCCACCCACGGTGGGTAGACCCATAATAAACACAATACCCCCACCTCCCTGCGGCTGACAATGCCGACTGTTGCTCAACGGCGCCATCATGCCGTCTGCACATCACTCCTCACTGATGTTGGGATGATACAGTGCGTATCACATGCCCGCCCTTTCCCCTTCCCGCCCGCCGGATGGCGTTGCCCAAGGGCCCAAGGGCACCGCGCACATGCGGATCGATGCCCACCGCCGCCTGCCCGCACAGCCCGCCACACCCCTACACTCACTCCCTACCCAGTGCCCGCCCAGCGTCGGGATCACTGCGCGCTTCGTAAATCAATGGCCATCGACCGCAGCCGTCCGCCTGTCCGCCTGTCCGCGCCGCCCGCCACACGTCGACCCAGTGCCCACCCAGCGTCGTCGGGACCTTCTGCCTTGGCTCACCTGGGCCTGGCGTTGCACTTGGCATTGTGTCGATCCGTTCCACAAGTAGACAAAAGGCTTGGCATTTGTAAAAGAACACAGCAATCAATCCCTCTCCTCATCGTTCTCTCATCGTGCTCTTCGACCGCGAGTTCCTCCTCACCACCATCCAATAAATTCCGCATCAATCCGCCCAGTGCGGCCTCGATGGACTTGCTCCATTCCAAAAAGAAGCGCTCCCCGATGCGCCGGTGCAAGTCCGCCTGACGTAGTGCATACGCACGTAAGCCTGATTTCAATTCGGCCGAGATACCCGGCTCCTCGTTCCGATTATCCATCCGACCCCGCCACTGGTCTTGCTCCCATCGAAGCGAGCGTAAGACACGCTTCATCTCTTCCCGCACAAGCTTGACTTCCTCCCGCCATCTTTCACGACGTGCTTTTGCCTTCGACCAGTCGACACGGACGGCTAGCGTTGCGTGAGAAGCGCCATCAATAAGCAGGTATGACATACAATCATGCAAATCGGATGCTGACGATCCACCCGTGGTCCAAATCCAGGATACGGTCCGATTTAAAGTCACCTGCGATGGCACATTACGTCCGACCCGTGACGAATCGGCACCCGCTAGCCGCTTCATTGCCTCGATGTCGTTCTCGACGCCAGGCCGTGCGTTTATGTCTATGTCGAGTAGGGGCCGAAATTGAGGCGCGAAAGTGCTGCCTTTGATGGCGACGAGCGCGGCCTGTGAATCTCGGTACTTTGCCGCAGCTTTTGCAATAGTCTCCCCCACACGGCTAATCAGCGACGCTGACCGCGTAGCAGATCGCTGCCCCACCGAATTCTCATTTCGCCAATAAATGAGATGGGTTTGCGTATTCAATGCCGCTCGAAGCTCCCGCAGCGCGTCACCACACTGACCAACCCGAAGCTTTACCTCAGCTTCCAGCACGCCGCGGCCGCATGCGCTTGATCGTCTATCGGCAGGTAGTTGAGAAGGCAGGTACAGCTTGACGAATTCAGCTTTGGGGGGTGCAGCATCGGGGTCACGCGCTGCCTCGTCTGCCATCCGGATGTCTTCCACGCCGGGCATGTAGGTGAGCTGGAGACGGAGGAATGTCTTGTGTTTTCGGAAGAATGTGAAGCGTCGCTCTTGAATTTGGCTCGAACGATCCGCATTCAATAGAGTGGTGTTTTTCGTTTCGGCAATGATGCGACGTCTCCAAACTAATTAGTGACTACCTGGGAGAAGCAACAGAACTCACTGCTGCGCCTCAAGCTGTAACCCGGCCTCGATGAAGGCCGCACTCGTCATTTTACCCTCCACCAAGGGGGCATTGCCAGCGCGAACCTCCTCCAGCTCAGCCATCTTCAGCTCCTCCATAATGGACTTCTGGGTCTGCGCACCTGGTGTCGACAGTCAGTAAAATGTGAGTTAGAGGTTTTGGAATCACTCACCGTCCTTGTCTCCGTCGAGCAGATAAGGGCTTGGTTGCGAAGGATCGGCTAGCCACGCTCGTATTTTCCCATTCCATATAGCTCTGGTCGTCGCATCGACTCCTGCATCGAGCTCATCAAACTCTTCGTCCTGCCGTGCAGATTCCGCTAAAGCCACGACGAGCTTTCGCGCGAGCGTATTCCCTACGATCATCAACTTTGAGTGTCATAACTTGATTGGCTGCTCACCTTGACCACGATTTTTCTCGAAATTTATGTGGTCAAGACGGTCTTCAATCGCGTCCTGCCTCGCCCCTTCCCCCATTTCTTTCGTGGACCATCCGATCGGATTCAGCGTGGACCACGTCCGCTCAATTCCCTCCCCATCGGTCTTTCCAACGCCAACTCGATAGGAAAGGGAGTTCGCGGTCCGACAAGCGATTTCGTGTGCCGCCGCATGCCAAACCGGTAGAGCGAACTGCATTTTGAAGCCGCTTAGGTCGTTGTCCATTACACCGCTGTCCTTTAAGCGGGTCGCGCGTTCGGGCAAATGTACACTCCATTGGCAGCCAATGTCGTAAGAAATCGCCAATGATTCGACACCCTCGCCTTGTAACGCCGATAATACAATAAAGTCCATATTCGCATATCTAGAGAGAGTTAGTATCTCTCCAAGTTGTGCGTTGCTACTCACCGCTCGCCCTTTTGAAGGTCTCCAATACCCCCTGGCCGTAGTAGGCCGTGCCGAGCGCATACACACCCGCCAACCCCAGAAACGCGAAGCCCGCTGCTTATCCGAGTGTCCTTTTGAAGCAGAGCCGCAAAAGCGACACAAGTGCTAATCTACAATCACATCAATAAGGGACAGCGTAAATACGATGGTACTCACATCCTTCTCGTTGACATACGCCTTCAAATGTGCTTTGTAAGCATCGCTCTCGACGAAATAACCCCGTCCTGCGATCAAAGAAGGGTCGTTGTGGGCATTTGCACGTATTCGATTTTTGAGGCGGAAATTCGCGTCGACAGCGAGGATTAGCTTATAGAGATAGCTTTGAACAGCGTGAGTCAATAGATCTGGACCCCAAAAAAATGAGCTCACGCGTCCTTCTTACGAACATTTCGCCAGCCCTCGGGTAGGTTACGGGCCACGTCAGGACATGCCCAACAACGCAACGCAAAACCACCATGTTTCTCCTCGACAAGCCCGTTTTTTTCGTGAGCGCGGCCTAATCGCTTAGCGGTCGTAAGGAACGTATGCTGCCGAGCCATTCTAATGAATGTTTTGTATCGATCCTAGGCAATGAAGTTAGTCGTTATCGCAAGCGGAGAAGAGACAGCGAGACTTACAGGCAACTTGCCCACGTTTGCCGCATCGGTGAGACGCTCAAGGGTTCCGACGAAGTCGTGCGGCGTTGAGGTTGCCAACAACATTGAGCAGTCGAAAGAGCTCCAATGCTTCTAACGTCGCACATGTTTCGGGATTGATTGCTGTTGCCGGATACCAGCCATGCGCGAGTAATTGCTGGACAGGATCGCTGCGTCGTTGGCCATATTCGCAGCTGCAGAGGCGCACGCGAAGGGAAAAGATGCCCCGAACGTCCATAACGACCAGTGACTTGATTTGGCCCGGATTTTCGCAAGCAAAGCCGTGGTGTCCCAGCTGGAAGACGAGGCCTAATCCGCCTTGTTCTACGGGGGCCTGGAGCGAAATGTCGTCCCAATATTCGCCATTCCATTCCTGAAAAGATGTGAGATTGGTCCACAACAGTATGAGCACAACGCACTCGCAAGGTATGCAGAGGACAACGAATGTGTTGCTCCATGACGCACTTTCCGCATTGCAGGAAGCATCCGCATTGCTGGCAGCGAAATATGCGGCAGTTATCCGTTCCATAACGATCTCCACAGAAAGAACACTTGGGAGAGTGGAGGAACTCTCCTAAGCCTTCTCGCCGAATCAGCTCGTCGAGATAGAATTGGCTGTAGGGAAGCCAGGTCGACATGGGGTCATCCTGACATGAATTCTCAGGTAGTCCTTCAAATAAGCAATGACTTCACTCACAGAGCTGGCATATCGTCGTCTTTTCGCCTTCTCCCCCTCATTCCCATCCTCCGCGTCTGGGCTGACGTCGTAAGACGTGATGGTATCCGCCAGAGCGAGCATATCACCCATTCCAGCAACCGAAACTGGAGTCCATTCTGCAAGTCTCTCGTCCTGCTCGGTGACTGGAACTCCGTGGTGGCGTTTTTGAGGGGCATTGTATCGAGTTTGAGTCAGGAGACGTGCCCCGTCAGCGGTGACGTGGGTATGAAGGTCGCCGTGAGAGCTAGTGGTGCTGTCGTGGAAGTCACCGAGATTCTCTGCCCGTGTCCGTCGTCCCATGTTAGTCGAGGAAGAACGGGACGGCGTTTCACAAACCTGATAGTGTCGTGGTTGCCAAGCGTGTCACAGCGTGTCGTCATTCACGTGGGCACACATGACTGGTGACAGCACTGCCTTCTTCCACCAAACCGGATCCTGGCCTACCATCCACCACACGGCCAAAATACTTGGCTTTTGCTTAGCAACATGTGGTCGAACTTTTAACCTGCGATGGCGATTTGAGCTTGGGCGAAATCCGGTTCTTTCCCTCTATCATGCCCACCTCATCTGCTGCTGCCTTCCAAGCCGCCCTCGACTCGCCCAACGTCTTGTTCGCCGCTCATATTGCTGGGGCTCCGGATGTGCCTGCTGTAAGTCGTTCCTATGTCTGCGCTGGTTTTGGCCTATGTTTCTGTAGGACAGCACGATGTCTGCGCCAGTTCGCGTGCGCCCTCGAGATGGCAACAACAATCTGACGGTAATCCTCGGCGAATACGGCCCAACGGATGCCCGCCCCATGTACTATCGCGCCGAATACAACCTAGCTGCTCCGCGCACTTTTCCCTTCATCGATTACCGCACCCTCGATTACCCACCCGGCTTTTGCGAACACTGCTTTCGCGGGTATTATGCATACGAAGAACTGGGGTTGGCCTATGTGGTTTTGCTCGACTGTCCACACCAATCCCCGGCGCCATCTCCCCGGAGCTCCCTGCCCAACAAATCCATTGCGTGGCTCCTTCGCAAGCGGCAACGTTCTGACCTGCGTACTGTTCGTGGTGGCCTGGCTATTGTCAAGCAGAATCGCGCTGGGCCCGTTCTCGACAATCCCACCGAATATCCCATCTGCAACATCGACCGGGCGGAGGAAGATTTTGTCGAGGATGTCATCATCACCTACATCACCCTCCTCCATGCGCTCGACGGGGGCAATGTTTACCTGGCGCCGGAGGTGGCGGGCGAGATAGAGGAGGGCCAGCACTTCCCTGGCTGTCCTCCGTCGCCGGGCCCCGACGCAATGTACTGAGATGGGTGGAATTGGCGCTGTTGTTTTCAATTTTTTTTTACAATATGCAATACACTTCATTGACGCCTCTGATTGTGGGAAAACTGGCAACAAATATCGTAGCTAATCGTGAATTGAGCCCTCTCCATCCTGCTTATTGCGTGAAAGTCGTGGTTCACGTATCGTTCGCCAACTTGTAGCTCAGCCTGAGGCCGATTGTCTAAAGAATATTAGTGCTATTAACAGACCAACCACTGGGCTGACCAGTGTTGATAATATGGCCTGTGCGGCTCTCTCGCGTGCTCGCCTCTGAGGGGGGCTGGGGCTGAACTTGCTCCATCGTTGACGAGGAAGGCATCAGTGGTAACGTGACGTCACATTTGATTGCATCTTTTTTTCTTCTTCCAAACGACCATCATTGCGACATCAGAGTGTCTCCGAAAGGGCCTTGCCCTGGCACATGTGGTCTGAGGGCCCATCCAAATGGAGCTTCGTGTCGACTTCTGGATCGACCTCAAAAAGACCAATGCCTACTCCGTCAAAAATCTTGGGCCCTCTGTTTCCTTCACTATGTCGGGAACCAGCCTCCCCGCGCGACACCTGGGCGCAACAAGCTCAAGCCTATTGACGTGGACGCCTTCCGCACCCCTACCCCGGGACGCAACAAAGTATTTCCCATCTATGCGGACTCCTTTCCGACGCCGGCACGTTCGGCCTCACCTATCGATGCGGACATGTTCCCAACCCCGCCGGAGTCTCCCATTCGTACGTATTTCTTCTTCCGATTAGACTTATCACTAATCAACTAGTCCAGTTCCTCCGCTTGGGCCCGCACTAGCCCGGGCGGCGGCTTTGCCGGACTTGACCAGCGATGATGAGACAGAGGTCACAATGGCGACACCTCCTCCCCCAGCCAATACCTGTCTGCCCCCGGCCCTCGCTCAATGGGACTCTGACACTGAGGCCGACGAGTACACGGATGCAGGTTTGTCGCACCCTACTGCATTGGCTGTTCTCACTCGTGTTTACCGCTAGCTCAACGAACCCTGCGCAATTTGCGCGAGCATCGCCGCGGTATGGGTGGTCCCCCTCCCCAGCAACTTGTCCAGTTATCTCCCCGCCCCCCGAGAACCAGCTCTCGCGGCGGCTGCACTGATTGCTCGAGCCGGCGTTACCGCCCGGCTGGCCGTCGAGCACGATGATGCTGCTCTCAATGCGGCTGAAGAGGCCCAGAGTCGTGTTTGGGCTCGCGAGCGCATCCTCGCACGGGTCGCCGCGCTCCTACAGGCGGCTCGAGATGACGACCGACCTTCGGCGGCCCTGCGTTGGATTAGCAACCATGCCTACCTCACCGAACAACAAGCTCCCGAGTCCGCTGATACTGAGGTCATTGACCCAGATCTCGCATGCTCAATCTGCTGCGAAGTTCTATCGCATCCCGTCAAGTATGTCTTTCATTTCGACAATGTCAATTGATCTAATCGACTCTTTACAGGACATCTTGCTTCCACGTCTTCTGTTTTGTTTGTCTTCGCGCAAACATGGAGCTCACAACTGCTTGCCCCATCTGTCGCACTGAGCAAACGGTTTCGCCCAGTTCTTGCCCCGCATTCAATCGCTTGCACGCAGCGGCCGTACGCTTTCGTTATCCTCAATGGCGGGACGACAGTCAAGTCAAAATCGAATTCGTGAATCTCCGCTCTCTTGCTGGAGCTGACCTGCCCACCGAGTGAACGGGCCGTTGCGGGACGACAAAAAAAAAAAAACGGCGCAAAGTCGCCTTTCTTCTGTTATCTATTTATGTGTCGTAGTCGTAGTCAGTAGTATATGTTGTACTCTGTGCAAGCCATCGTCTTTGACCACTTCTAAAGTGCATAGTGTGCCAAGAAGCCTCCTGAGATGTGTGCCGATGCTAGATTTGCCTGTGGCGAACGTGAGCCCGAAAATATGATGTGTGATGCCCCTGGTCCAACAGACGAGGGACGGCTCCCTGTTCACTATTTCGATCCGAATGGCTTGGTCTCTTGCATATTCTGAATATATGGGTAGAAGGTAGTGTCAGACAATATTTTGGGAATTTTAACATTTTTGTTTGCTCGGGATAGCTCATTGCCAGAATCGACAGTAAATCAGTGTCTCATCCTAGAAATTCGGTTGAATCCGCCAACATTTTCACATATTATACCCCAGTTTTTTTCAAGAAATCACAAGGACTGCATGGACTGGGTCTATTCTGGTCAGAGCGCTGCCATAGCATACTTTCATGGAATGCTAGACGGTGTTTTTGTAGTTTGTCCAGCCGAATTCAACCAGTCAGTAGGACTTTTATCAATAGGAACTACCGTTTAGCCACCCACCCTGGCTCTTCCACTTTTACCATCCTTGGGGCTTATACACACAAGCTCATCACATCTCTTCATGGCATGCGGGGCGTTCTGGCGTGCATCGAACAGCCAAATAAGCTGACACATTCACGTTACGTTGGCCTGGTTGATCGCCGTGTGCGTGTCAAATGCTGTGCTGGCACTTCGTTCCGACAGTCATGTCCGTCTCTGCGACGAATCCGCCGAAGCCCTGTCTTGCCACAACTCTTCGTCCCGCAACCAGCATCGTGGCCCGTCGGCAAGCAGCCAAAAAATATCGGGAAGAGTGAGTAGCTATCATTGGGTTAGCGTGATCGCTCAACGCGTTACACTAGGAATAAGGATGAGCTAAATCTCAGGGCTGCAGAACGCATGTCTCGGTATGCCATGTCTGTGCGATTCAAACTTTGCTCAGTCCTCTGATTAGCCTGCGGACAGCTTGGTTGGGTACCCTCGATAACAAGACTTTGGAGAGCCAACGAGCAAAAGATCGAGAGCGCAGTCGAAGGTATCGAGAACGGTATGCAATCCCCCTGCACTCTATGGTGAGCTGACTATCCTAAGCCACACAGCTGAGATAGCTATCCGTAAGAGAGAAGCTCGCAACCGGTGAGTTTTATTCTCTACAGAATGCACAATGTTACTATTTCAAGTTCTCAGTGCGTATATCGCCCTGCACGGGATTGAAGCCTTCGCAGACCGAGAATACAATCGCAAACTACGGCGCCTCATCATCGAAGAGGACGCTCAACTCCTGGAGCTCGATGCTGCGTATCAAAGAGAATTACTATCACGTCGCAAGCGCTCGCAGGAATCTTTGCGCTAACTTAGCTTGTAATCAATTGTCTTGATGTTGCCGCTACCACTGGCATAGGGTAATTGAAACCAACTTGTTTTGGCCATCCCTGAGTGTCATCGGGGCCCGGGCTAAGTGGCAAATCTCTGACATCTTCCGAGTCCTACCATACCGAGAAACCCGACAACGCCTTCTTTCTGTTATCATCTGGCAGCTCTTGTGTCATTGTCAGCGTACAAGGTTGCCGACTATCACTGATTGATACAGAAGCACTTGTCGATCTTCCGCCAAAGATATTATTGCGACATGCAGGCTGATAGCAGCACTGGCGTTACAAACATATGAGACAAGAAACTACCCCACATTCATGTGTCCAACCCAGCTGTATCCACGTCAGAGCTTACTAGAGTTCCAGGAAAATACGACAAACCGTCGGACAATCTCGTTTACAAGCTCCATCTCATCAGCTGCAATACTCAGCATTTCCACATCAGCATTCATCGCATGCACGGCGGTGAGCGCGTGCTTCATAACCAGGAGGGGTCCGAGAATCGGGTGGCGTTGCCCAGGGATAAGAGTTTCGACTGCCATGTTGGCCGGCAAATCACCTTGGCCAGGTGGCACTTGATCATGGGTGCATGCGGGGACCAATGTGAAAGCGTGGTCTTGATTTTCAATACGCACACAGGGCTTCAAGCAGCGCGGACAGGTGAGCCCACTCTTGGCAAACACCTGTGTAAGTTGCGCGAGGTTAGCCTGGATTGAATGAGACGCTGAACTGTTGGCGATGAGCGTGCGAGTTGGCGTTGGGCGGTCTACAGGGAAATACACAACAGCCAAGGCATGAGGCTGAGGG